GGGGGGGGTCCTGTGTGGCGTGGCTATGTCCCTTTTTTTTTTTTAATTATTATACATAACGACAAAATTACCTTGTCAGTTTACGTTGTCGTGAGTGAGTCTCCTAATTTCTTACTCTATCTTGCTCTAGTTTCAGATTCTGTGTGCGCGTGAGTTTGACTACGTATTATGTCTTTTTACTCTTGATGGGTTTGTTGTTTTTCTCATTTATTATTAATGTTATTGTTATCATGCACGAAATAGGTTTCGAATTACGACCGACCTGAAGAACAGTCCAGACTTGATGGACAGATGCATACGTAAAACGCGCTACTGCGGTGGATAGCAGGGAACTTGAACTGACCGGTGGCGATATTCAATTGAGTTGCTTGATCTAGTAATACGGGAAAGCACAAGGGAGAGGGTGTCGAGGATGTTGGCATGATTGCATGCACGGGTAGAGACCTAGTCGTGGTAGCGTCGTACTGATGATGGGATGCGAGGGGAGGGTGTGAAGCCGGGGATGTGGGGTGAAGAGACTTGGGGGGAGAGTAGAAGTCTGGGAGGGGAGGGTTGGGGGGAAGGTGGAGAGGAGGAGGGGGGGGAGGTTAAGCCGGGGGTGGGGAGCCGAGGGGGAGGGGGAGGTTATCAAGACGTGACACTTTGTGTAGGAAGAAGATGGTTGGCTGTTCTCTTTTGCTTTTTGTTTGTTTGGTTGCGTGTTGTTTTTCAGTTCATCATTGTTTGCTATGCTCTCACCAGGGCGGAGACGAACTTGGTGGAGTAATCGAAGGAGACGTGCAGTATGAGCAGGACGAGGCTATGTCAACAAGTTTTTGAAGGGAGTGGTTTGCGTGTGGGCTTGAATCACGCATGCTGCCGACACCGCTGGAAACATGCATGCAATTCTGGAGGTCTGGTCGGTAGTGTGGGCTGAGAATCGCGCAGTGGAAGGGGTGGTGATGGAAGGGTAGGAATTGGGGGAAAAGGGGGTTAGTGAGTGGGGGGAGATGGAGTTAGTTGGGACTTCACTGATAGGGACAATGAAGGCATCGACACTGTCTTGGTGAATGGCCAGGTCTCGGTTGATGCCCACAGCTGATGCATGTCAATTGAGCCGCCTCGTTGAGATGGCTGGCTCAGACCAGTCTTGTGTGGGGCTGGGAGCGGGAGGCCTATATCCCACGTACTTCTCGAAGGCGGGTTTTGCCGCCGTAGGTGGAGTTGCGAGCGATGGCCATCGAGCATTCTTTCACGTGGTTTCCTGGATTTTGGGGTCGGCGATGCTCTGTGGTGATGGCGGAGGAGGTCTGCTCCTCGTGCTTGGTTGTTGTGATGGCGGCTGCTGCCGCGGCAGTTCGAACTTCGAAGATCGCCCACGCGCGGGCGGGAGCTCGCTGGCTCCTGGCGGGAAGGCGGGGGGACGGATGCGGCACTAGCCGCGCAATGTGATTCGGGCTTCGGCCCCACGGGCCCGGGTGCTGGCGCTAGCGCTGGTGCAAATTAGTGCAGCGTAGCGTTATGCGCTATCCTGTCGGCGCATGCGAGCAGATAAAATTTTTCTCCAATTTGGTTGCCACTAGGACTTGAACACTCAGTCAAAAGGAGACACTTTCTTAATGTTTAGATTATCATTTTGAGAGCACATACTTCACAAGAGTGGGATGGTGGCATCGTTTACCCAAACAGAGAGGGAGGGCAAGGGAGCTCAGGTTCCTCCGGAGAGGCCTTGGCCAAACCTCCATCCCCCTCTGTCATCCCATACCAGCGGTGAAGGGAGGCAACCAGGGACCCCGGGGGCAAAAATGCTGGGCACATTGCTCACACTCAGGTGAAAGCAACCCTTAACAACACAAAGGGTAAAATGGTAGACTGGAGCTGTGCGGGAATATCCAGAAGAAGACGAGGCAAGCTAGGATGAAGTGCATAAAAAACACACAGTCCTCTTCAGTTTTCCAAACAAAAGCGCAGGCATGTCCCACAGCAAGAAAAGAAGTTGGGTAAGGGACGGACTGAGATCACTTCAAGAGATACCAAGGAACGGAGCCAGAGGTCACCTGCCACAACGGGAAAAATACTGTCACGATAGTAAGTTGAAGATGAAAGCTACGCTCGATAGCTAATCTCACTGACCAGTCTAAAATGCAAGAAAGGGATCATAACAATCACTAACTGGAAACCCCAAAGGGGACCTCAAGCGGTGCCTCTAGGCACAGATAACTAAACCACCAGTACGTTTCCCAGTCATTTTTCTCTGACGCGCCTTGCATGCTGCTGCAACTCTCGGGGTTGGCAAAATGGCTGGTGGCACCAGCCAAAACGAGGCCCGTGCCGGCTCACTTTTTTTTGGCCCGCTGGGCGTTGAAGCCCTGGGCAAAAACGGTCCGGAAGTACTGGTGCTTTAAAGTGAACAAATGCATGCCAGCTGCGGTTATGCTCACGGTGGCAGACACCCTCTCCGCCCCTCTCTATGCAGAGATGCTGGAGGCAGGAGACGAGGGTGAGCTGAGGAGGGATCAACATTTGTGGACTGCGTGAAGATGGGTGCGCCGCCCTCCTCTACCCATCTGCCGCGTGCAGTACTGAGGATGGCATCAGTCCGGGGAAAATGCACAAAAGGACCCCATTTAAAAAAAAAAGAAAAAGAAAAAAAAAGAAAAGTGTCTCCTTTTCGTGGAAAGAAGAAAAGCAACCAGACTGTGAAATGGACAGCTGGTTTTCCTTTTTGTTTAGTTTTGCAATGTCGTGTGTTCTTGTCCAGATTTCCTTATTCTTAAGTTAACAGGGCAGGACAAGCATAACGCTGTCGTGGTCTTCATCAACTTTGAGAAAGCATATGACCACGTGAACTGGACCTTTTTAGATAGGTGTATGCAGAAAATGAATACTGGGCCAATCTCTCGACGCTGGCCCGAGATACTACACCACAACGCCACTACGAGCGTTCAGGTCAATGGATTGATGGCACCGGTAATCTCGCTACAACGGTCGGTCCGCCGAGGAGACCTGGGCTCCCTTCCTGTTCGTACTTGTGAAGGAGGCATTGGCAGCAAACCTCCGTACTAACAAAGATCTTAGAAAATTACAGATCTCCGCCATTCCTAAGGAGGCGATCCCCGTATGCTCAATGTTCGGGGATGACCTGACTGTTATGGTGGACGCCACACCCCGAGAATATGGAAGAAATTAAGAAATTGTTGGATCGATTTTCGACAGTCTCAGATATGACTGTCAACTGGGGGAACAAAACACTGGGACAGTGGATCCATCACCAAGGAGTGCGTCCGTTGGAAATGCCACGGGTCGAATGGTTACTGGAAAATGCCCCGGTTAGACTATTAGGTACAAGCGGTGTCTGCTCGTACCAGCACCACTATCACTGGCGGGGGTGTTTGTTCAAAAAAAAAAAAAAAAAAAAAAAAAAAAAAAAAAAAAAAAAGGTACAATGCTGACAACATCAGGGAAGCCTGCATCGAAAGACGAATGGATCCTCACACCAGCATTGGACAAACATACATCTTTGATGGGTAGGGCACTGGCAATCAACAACGTAGTACTAGCGGCCCTCTGACATAGGTCTGCGCTTTCGACCCTCGGTAAAGAAGCGGTTAGATCACTCAAAAGGCAAATCACCGCCCTGCTGTGGAGAGGCAATAGTGAGCTTCCAATGTTACAAGTATGGTGGCCTGGTAGTCGGTGATCCAGCCAAAAGACAAAGGGGGTTTGGGCATCCTATACCCAAATACCCAGGTGGCTGCGCTGTTGGTACAACGGATCAGAAGATTGGCAATTACGCCAGACCTTCCTTGGTATATCCTTGCACTAGAGAAGACTACTAGACTGGCACCAGAACCGCTATTGGTCCATACCACGACACCCTCGGGTTGACAGAGACTCCACCCGGGGCGCAGCGAGGAGCGACCTGGCCAGAGATGACTTCTGGCCCCGAGTACTGAAGGCCTCGCGCCAGCTACTGTTGCCAGAAAAGACCCTGCCGAGTAGATGGGAAGAGGTGATGAGGCAACCCCTCTTCGGCAACAGAAATATCACTGATAGAAATGGGAGTGTGCAAGTAGTTTGGACTCCCCATGGAGCAGCTGGGTCAAAAACGGCATAGTGAGGATCAAAGATATATGGGACCCGGCGAACAGAGAGTGGAAAACGGTGCCACAGTTGAGGGCCCAGATGAGGTATTGCCATGATATTGAAAGGAACTTAGAAACACTGATTTTTGATGTCCCTCTTAACTGGGTGCGTATTCTACAAAAAGGACCGCAGCTGGCGGAAGGAGACTAGGTCGCAGTCCCGGACGACACGGAAAGCGTTGGTAACGTGGTGGAAGTGCGGGCAGACAAATCTTTGGTCAGCCTCTTCCATAAGGGAAAGGGCAATGTTCTCACTAGGTACGCTCCAGGCGCGGTGAGGTGGTGGAGGAACGAGGAGAATGGACCGCATTTCTCCCCGGAACACCCCTCGCTGAACTCCCCTTCGACCCGAAGGAGTGACATTGGTCGCATGCACAAAGAACGCCAGCCAAGCTGAACATAAAATTCTTTAGTTTGTCAGTAAAGGCCACAGACCGGCTGTTGCGGCCAAAGGTGAACCTTAGAGAGATTGTGAAAGCCCGCTGGATAGCCCATCTGAACCTAAGACACCATCCGCCCTATCTGGTGGTTTTCAACCATGAGGTCCAAACCGGCTTAAATCCGCCTCGCTGCAGTGGCAGATAGAGCACCGTTGCCTCCCGACAAACAATTGGCTGATAGATTGCACGTACCTGGAACAGAAGGGCCTGGCGCTCCCCTAATGTAAATCCTGCCATAATGCCTTCCCCTCCCACAAGATCCCGGAAACTATAGAACACATTTTCCTACAATGCCCATGGGCGGTCCTCACTTGGCGTTGGTGGGATAGGATATGGAGCCTCCGGGGCACTGGATCGGCTTGGCCGTGGGACCGGAGGGCGCTGCTCTGTGAAGCATGGATCTCCCCCACGGACAACGATTTTGAAAACAACATGTTCAAGATCGGGAGGAGAGCGGTTATTTGGCCACTTTGGAAGTTTGGAGGAAGTGCTGCACATACACCATTGAGGGAGTTCGCATGGATGGAGAGGAAGTAACATAAATAATAAAAACAGAATATACAGCAAGAACTCCTCTCACGATGGCAGAAGGTCAAGAATCAACTACAAACATATCACTCAAAGAAAGACATCACACAAGCAATCAATCAATTCTCAGTGGACTGGCTGGGTAACGAAAAAGGGGGCTGGATTGCCTATATTCGATGGGAGGGTGGACAATCTTCGGGGCAGGAGCAGGAAGACTTCAGGAGGGACTACTGCATCTGCTTCAAGGAATGGACTAGAGTGGACCAAGGAGTGTTGTTGTGCTTACCCTCATCAGAGACCTGGCGGTCGGGGTCCACTCAGCAAATGAGTGCAATTTGGTCAGTACCATTTGCCTGCACCACCAGTACCTTTCCCCACTTGAAAATCAGTTCCATGCCGGGTAACGCGAAAGCCAAGCGGGATAGGGCGGCCGCCGATAAATTGAATCGGCGGCCCGTTTTTCATTTAGGGCCTCTTTTTCTGCCCGTGGCCGATATATGGGAAAGGTACTGGTGGTTTAATGTCATTCAGTTGGAAGCTCTTACCTCATTGTTCCTGCCTTGCCATTACTACTTTCTGTTTGGCTTTTCAATCCGTCATTGATTACTTCTGGACGATTCTTCTAGACGATCTTACCGTGAGAGCAGGCAACCCCTTTTTGGTCGATTCTCATTCTGTGTTTGAAACTGATCCAAGGACGTAAGACATGTCTCCTTTCTTTCCCCGGGAACAACCCGTCCTTCCTCCCCCATACGCCATCCGATTCTTCCTCTATTCCCCCTCAGTACCACCTATACTATCTATCGTTTTCCACCAGGAGCTGTGCAATGAAGACTGTCTCCATCCGATTCTCTGCTTCAATCTGACCAGTGACCCTTTCAATTTGCTTCTTCTTATTCCTCTGTATGGCAGGCCATGGTCAGCCCTGACACTTTCATGTCAGGTTGCATTGACGTGACCTTCACAAAACTGCTTTATACTATCCAAGGCAATCTTAACCTATGATTCTAGCTCCCCCTGGCTCCTGGCGAGAAGAAGGCGCTGATAGGGATATTCTACCTCTATACACTTTTGCTGAAAAAAAGCCTGCCGAGATCTGATCCGTCGGCCTTCCTTTCTGCCCTATCGTCACTGTCTCCACTCTTCCCCAGCCCCCTTCGCTTTCCTTTTTTGTCCACAAGGTCTGCGTATCGACGCCGCTTGAACGGAAATGTCCTCTGGTCCCAAATATCAGCTTATCGGTCCCACTTGATCCTCCCCGATATGATCAAACCTTACCCACTCTCCCCAACTCTGCAATGCAGCTGAAAACCTACCGACACCCCAGCTCCAACCTTGCGTTCAGAAACTACAACCAAACTTTTCCTTATCCCCACCTTCCTGAGTCACATGCTTTTACATTTCAATGTGTCAATTATATTCCGATGTGCCAATTACATTCCTGTCCCACTCGTCCTATAGACTGTCCAATTCAGCCAACTCTCCTGGACTATCCACCACCCCCAAGCAAGGCCACAGCAGGTAACAACCTGTTTAAACTTGTAAATTAACCAACAAGAATCCAAGATATAAAAAGTGAAAGTGGGTGGATAATGCACTCACGTCATGATTGAAAAATCTGGACCTGCTCTCGCTATTCTCGGACATGGAACCTCCCATCTGTAATCCCAGCAGGACTGCAATCCTCTCCTGACCTGCAGAGCTGTGCTTTCAGGCATCTTCTGCCGCATATCCCACAGCTTGATGGATTGATCTTTTGAATTTGAGAGCAAGTAGCGCCCATCTCCCTAAGGAGGCATTTAAAGTGGGGAGAAGAAAAGCACAAGACAGAAAAGTGTTCAGTTAAAGGCTACCAGCCGGGCCGCCTGGGTCACCTTGTTGCCCGGGCAGCCCGGCCGTGCAAAGACAAAAGAAGGTCCCAGCAAACAAACAAACAAACAAACAAAACAAACAACAACAACAAAAAAAAAAACCCAAAAAATCTGGAAAACAATTATGTTATGAAGACAAATAAACTGAACAACTTTTGCCTCAGGTTCACATTAAAATTCTTGGCCGGGGAAGTGGTCCAGGGCCACTCTGGTGACAGTTTTTTTTTTTTTTTTATAAAGAAAAATGCATGGGTCCTGGGGACCAACTCACGCAGATGTGCATACATCAAACATCGTCTTCACACTCAATGGACACAGTTGCCACACACGAGACAAAGGTAGATGAGAATAGGACCAAGACCCGTCACTTATATTATCAAAAATTATGATTACAATGAGTTCACAGTTCCCTGAGTCAACGCGCTTCAGCGCAATACCAATCCCACATCAGATACATCAATGCCACCTTCGTCACTTGCTTCTAGCTCAGGTAAGTGTCCTCCATAACCAGACCTTGA